ACAAAGGGCACGTTCAGAGGGTTGAGGCCGACCACCCCGAGTTTCAGACTTCTAATTTCCTACGCCCCCAGGAGACTCCGACCTGCACCTCTAGCCCCTGATGTAACACGGGCTGCCTGCCCCATCCAGCCCTCCGCTCTCCTCTGGCTTCCCCGGCTGCTCCTGGAAGCCCCGCCCCCACCGCACAGACCTCCCACCTCTAGGTCTGCAGAAGCTGACCTCAGGCAGGACCAGGCCGGCCACGTTGCACAGAGGCCACTGACTCTCGGAAGCTGGGATGCATCCTCAAAGACCCACCTCGCGTTCCCCAACCGCTTTCCAGGGCCAACCCCCAGAGGCCCAGTGATTGCGTGACCGCGGCCGATGGCTGAACCCCATCTTGCTGCACTGTGCGCCAGTGGCTGAACCCCATCTTGCTGCGCTGTGAGCCGGGCTCACTGGCACCTGCCTCTCAGGTTGCTGGGAGAATGAGCTGAAGAAGGTGCGGAGCTGCGGCCCTAGCCTGCGCCAGTGTTCACTTCTGCGGGCCAGGTGGGCCCGGGGATGGTGTCCCGCCGGCGGTCAGCTCTCAGCCGCCCCTCACACACCCCCACACCCACAGGTGGCACTCTGGAGGGAAACCTGGGCACGAGGCTGCCAGCAGCCCCCCTTGCTCCGTATTGATTAGATTCACTTGCAAAATGTTCCCAAGATGAAAGGCGGCACTGGAGAGCTGTGCCATCAAAGTGGATGCATAACATCTGAAGGCTCGTGAAGTGTCCGCGAAAAAGAGAAAAATGGAGTTGGGGCGGGGGACGGAATGGATCACAAAAGCTGGGGACACAATGGAAAGGGCCCGTAGTGTCTGAGTCTTCCGCCTGAGAATCTGTTCTCAGGAGTGGCGGACAGGTGAGGGCCTCACAGAGGACAGGCGTTGTATGTGCCTAGAGGGGCCTCCCCGTCTGCATGGGGTTGGGCCAGTCCCAGGGCCAGCCCCCCAAACTGCCTGAGGCCTCTCCTGTCCCTGCTCGGTGTGGCCTTCCACCCTCCAGCCTTCTTCCCCACCCCCAATTTTTCTTGTTTAAATATTTATTTATTTTGCAGACAGAATTGGGGTACAGGCCAGAGGCTCAGGGGTGGCAAGAGGCTTCACCAGAGACAGAGCGGGGAGCAGAACAGACAGATCGACGAAGTACACTGCTGAGGGGAGCAGCGGGCGGGTCAGGAGAGGTCTGCCACGCCATGTGGTCACCTCCGGGGCAGGCGGGGATCGAACTGATGCAGAAGTTGCTTTAGCTTCTCAGTGCTGTGCTGTAACCCGCTGCGCCGCCTGGGGGGCCCCCACCCCCAGTTTTAAACCACATGTTCTTGGAGGTTCTTCCTTAACCCAGCCAGGACCCCCAGAGGACTCTCAGAGGCAAACGAGAGGTGTCCACGGGAGGGGCCGCGGCCACCCACCCTTCGGTCAGGACCCCGGCACGCTCCCTGCACCTCCTTGAAGCGGAGCGCGGGGGTAAGGAAGGGTCCTGGCGGGGCACAAGGAAAGGCGTCAGTGGCCTCCCGCCCAGGCGGCCGGAGAGGAGACCCCTTCCCGCATCATCTGGCTGTGTGCGCTGGACAGCGCGGTGGACAGGGGGAGGCATGTCGCTAAGGCAGCATCAGCTGGACGCCGTCAGCACAGTGTGAACAGCCAAGGGCGGCAAGTTCACCCCGACAGTGTGGCGGGGTCAGGAGGTGGGGCCTTCGCCGGCGGGGTCCTGCTCAGTGCCATTAGGGCCCATGCCCGTTTTCCAGAAGTGGGGTAAGAGCCTACAAAGTTCCCTTCCCCTTCCACTGTGGGGTTGCAAAGCCAGATGCCTGCCCTCTGCAATCTAGGTGAGGCCTTCACCAGCCCCCCCCACCCCACACCCCACCCTCCTCACCCCTGCTGGCACCCCGGTTCCAGCCTCTAGAACAGTGAGGAGAAATTCCTGTTGTGCATAAGCCACGCGTCAGTGATGCTCTATTAGCGCAAACCCCACAGACCAGGCATGTGGGAGTAACTGGGCGGAAGGTTGTTTTTATTCAACGTGTCACATTTGATTCTCACCCCTTCATTTCAGTGGTCCCGGGGGCCCACGTTTGACCCGGGGAGCCCCCTGGCACTGTCAGAATCTAATCAATTCCCAAGTATACATTAAGAGTGAGGTGGCTCTTTAAACTGAAAGCAAAGGCCTCTTGAGTCTACCCCCCTCCCAGGCCCCTCCCAAAAAGAGGGGTGTCTTCAGTTCCAGAGCATCTTTGTGCATTTATGTAATATGCAGCTTGCCTGAGAAAACAGTAACTTGTGTTTCTTCCCTGATACACAAGAATATCTTACATGTATATCCTTTACACTACCAGTCAGATTTCCTTTCACGGGATCCAGTATGCCTAACACTAGAATTTGCTCATTTTCACCTACCAATCTGACTTGGTAAAAGAAGTAAATTGGTGAACTCTTTGACACACCCCAGATACTGTCTGTCAGATTATCTCTAAGAAATGCCTGGAACTTTCCATATATTTTTTTTTTCACTTGTCCTCACACCAACCCTTTCAAGTACGTATTGTTATTAGTACCTGAGAAATCAGGAAATTGAGTTTCAGAGAAGTCGAAAAGCTCGCCACAAGGATGCATTGAACAAATGCGTGTAATTACCCAGCCACTGAGCTGAGGCTAGAGTCCTGCTCTATGCCTGGAAGGTCAAGAGGATGCCTCTCCGCACCCAGCCCAGAACGAGGGCGTCCCTGGGGACGCGGTCTCAGCTGGTGGGAGCAGGGGCTGGCTGATCATTGCCTCCTTCCCACCACCCCCAGGATGGAGCTCTGAGTGACAGCATCTTCCAGGGCCAATGGAAAGCACAGGAAGCGTTTGTCTATGCACGACCTTGGGGAAGGGGGCTGTTCTGAAGCCCCGGAGCCAATGGTGATCACCTGGCAGCAATTTCCTGCAAGCAGCTCCTTATCACACATCTGGCCATTGGTCAGCTTCCTGAGCCACATGCATGATTTGTCATTAACCCAGGCAGCAGGGTGATATCCCTGGCTTACGTGAGCTAGCGCCGAAAGTCTTGCATCACCCAGGGAAGAGACTCAGGCGAACTGCGTTTGGCATGCTTGAAAGGCCCTTCCACAGACCCACAGGGATGACTCAGAGAGCCGACCTGCCTCTCAGGAGCCGGGGGCTTGGGGAGAGGCTGCTGCACCCCTCCAAGCTTCAGCAAGGAAGAGCTTAAAGGCAGAAGGGCCAGAGGAGTGTTTGGAAATGGCTGAGAATCAGGGCTACAGGGCCTGCTCCACCCCACTCCCTTCATGGCACTGCAAAGACAGCCTGGGTTTTCTCTGATAAGCTGCTTGTCTGATAAGATGCTGCTGGGCTGTAAAGGACCCCAAAATGCAGTGACATGGACTGTTGCCTTTTACTGTTTGTGGATTCTTTGGGTCAGCACACAGGCAGAGCCCTGCGGGACAGGCTTGTCTGCACTGTGATGTCCCAGGCCCCTGGGTCCCCAGGGGACTCGCACAGCTGGGGCTGAAGAGCTGGCTCTGGAACACCCCCTTCCAAGGTGGCTTCCTCTGGGGGTCAAAATGTGTCTCGCCAGAAGATACATTCAGGTCTTAACCACATACCTGTGAAGTAACGTATCTGGCTAAACAGGGTCCTATCCAGATGTGATCAAGTGGAGGCGGTGGGCCCTAAACCAGTGACAGCTGTGCTTCTAAGGTGAGAACATTTGGACCCAGACACACACAGGAAGAGGGCCTGGGAAGATGGAGGCAGATGTTGGGGTGATGCCTCCAAAGCCAAGCAATGCCAAGAGCCCCCAGAGGCTACGACAGAGGCAAGAAGGATGTCACAGACTGAATGTAATCCCTCCAAATGTATACATGGAAACCTTACCCAGTAGGGCGGAATTTGGAGATGGGGCCCCTAAGAAATTAATTCCAGTTAAATGAGGTTATAAGGGCGGGGCTCTGATCAAATGGAGGGGAGCAGGGGTGAGGTGGGGAGGGTAAGATGGGAGAGCACACCCGTGTCCTTTTCTGTCCAAGGTGGCATGCCTCACAGGGCTCTAACTCTTGTTTGTATGAGGCCACTGTGCCTTCTCCTCTGTTTTTGCTCCCAGGTTTGAAGACAAATCCCAGGACCCGAATGATGCCTTCTCAGGGCCCTCCCTGGGACACCCAGAGCCCTCAGTGAACAGGAGAAACCAGGACCACTTGGGGCCCCAAGGTGCACAGACTTCTCTCTCTCCTGGGGAGTTCAGTAAACATGATGTTTCCTTAACGAACACTTTTTTCTCTTACTTTGTCACCAGGTGACCCTTAACAAGCCACCCCCACCCCAAGTTTTACCAATAGTACCTAGGAATCCTTTGTCTTGAAAAGAGAAATCCATGTTAAAATAAGGCAGTGGGTGCCAGCTGCCAGCTGAGGCTCTGTGTGTGTGTGGAGGGTGGGGGGGAGACGGGGTGTTCATTTTACACAGGTGGCCCGAGGTGCTTAGTTGTTTCCTTAAAGTACAACACTTGTATCAGCTCTCATTTCCTGTCACAAGTTCAAATAAGACTGAGTCTTCGTTGCTGGTGCTGGACACTTGACGAGTGAATGAATGAACACCTATCGGCGTTTATTACTGATGAGTCCTAAGAGAAAGGGTAGCAGTAACAGCCATCTAGGATGCTGCTTAACAGCGCAGGCTCTGGAGCCCTGGTACCCAGGTTCGATTCCAAGCCTTGCCACTTAGTAGCTGTGTGATCGTGCGCGCGTTTTCTAACGGCTCCCCACTCGTAGCAGTGGTTCCTCCACGACAATCACCCCAACACACCCATGCAGATGAGAGTAGACCCCAGCAGGTGAGGGAGGCCGCCGTGCTGCAGCCCCTCGGGGCGCCCAGAAAGAGCCCCACACCTTGGCGTGGGCGGCCCCAGTACGCATGCGCGGCTGCGTGTGGGCGTGGTCAGAAGGCGGAGGGGCGGGCCCGCGCCTGCGCGGGCCGACCACAATGGCGGCCTCCTGTGTCCCGAGGTGACAGGGTTAAATAGGACTTCAAACTGTGGCCGATTACGGGTAAGCCCCTAGGAGAGGCAGCGGGACGCATCAGGGTACAAAAAGGTGCCCTGCCACCGTACCTGGCATTGAAATCCGGGCTCCCACGCATCCGAGGCCCAGGTTCCCATTCTCAGCCTCAGTTTCCCCTCTAAGCTTGGTGCAGGGGTAAGGCCCCTTCCCTGGGGTCCAGGGTCCAAGCCCCCTGCTCAGTTACGGGTTGGAAGGGAGGACAGTGACCACGTTATGGCTGCATTTGAAAGAGTAGTACCTAACCTGGAAGGGTCGTGCTCATGGAGACGGCGAGGTCCAGTCTGGGGAGCTCCTGGGGCAGGTGCCGGGGCCACCCCGCTTGCCCTCCGTTATTCAGCGTCTAGTAACAACTGGCACAGAATTTGCTCCCAGGTCCGCATGTTGAGTGAGTGAGTGGAGCGGCTTCTGGCAGAAAGGCTAGGAGGGGTGAGGTATTTAAACCCTCAGATTCTGACAGTGCTTTGTGGGGGCAACCCTGGCTGGAGCGCCCCGGGAGAGGAAAGAGGAGTCTGACCCCACAGCCTTAGAAGAGGAAAGGACTCCCGTCAGCATCTCATTTGCAACCTGAAGGAGCAGGCCCCCTTCCGCGCTGGGGCAATCCCTGCCCTGCTCTGCCCTCTGGGAGAGGGGCCTGAGGCCCAGCCAACCCCAGCACAGCCACATGGAGACCGAGTTGGCTGTTCCTAAGTAGAGAAATGCACCAGTGCCCTTCCCGGTGTTCCCAGTGCACCCTTCAGGGCAGATTTTATTATTGGCATAACGGTAATATTTACTCAAAATTTACTGTGCCCTGCATCCTAAAGCTACCATTACTTCATTTAGTGTTCACACAGACCCTAAGAGAGTTACAAGGTGCCCCCCACATTCCCAGATACCTGATTCTGAAAATAGCCTCTAAGGAAATCCACTTCACCTGGGTCCTCATAATTTCATAACACCTTCCACATGTGTGTCACCTGTAGCGATTTCCTCAACTGTTTGTAAATCCACTCTTGAAAAAACAAAAACGGTATGTGTGAAGCTGGGCTCAACTTGCAGAATAAACAAAGACTCAAGGGCAAATTGCAAATGTAAAATGTCAGTCGCAGATGAGTACTGCTTTAGGAGGAGCTGGCTGTGAGACACTCGAGAGGCAGGTAGAGAACTGGACTGGAACTACGTGACATATAGGACTCGTTATTTTATGTCTACTAATGCTCTTGTGGCTTTATAGGAGCATGTTTTAGGAGATGAACTCTCAGGGGTTGGGGTAGATGTGATGTCTACAATGTACTCTAAGTTCAAGGAAGAAGAAACACATGGAGTGAACACAGCAAAAATATCGCTGAATCTAAGCACTGGATGTTTATAAGGTCGTTTATTGTGCCATGACTTCCATTTTCTTGTCTATGTTCATAATTAAAGAATGGGGAGAAATTAAAAAGAAAGCTATATGAGTAGATGGAAATTCAGATCCCTTACCCGAGATAAAAGACGACTATGGAAATGAACACACTGCAAGCAAAATAATACACTTCTCGCTGGCTTCATTTCCCTTCCCCGGGCTCTCAGGCTTTCTTTTAGGGAAAATGAGAAGACTTGAAAAGCACTTTCTCCCGGTGTGCAGCGAAGCCCAGCACCCAGGTTGGGGACTGTCGGCACTGTGCCCCTCGAGACTGTCGGAACCGCTGTTCCTGCCTCCCAGGTGCTGCTGCCCGTGACTTAGGGGGGCCGGCACCTGGTAGCCGGCTCCCCCCACCCCGGCCATGGATGAGGTCACCTTCAAAAGCAACACTGTGCTGTCAGATGTCCACCTCTACACCCCAAACCAGAGACACTTCATGGTGCGACTGAACAGCATGGGGCAGCCCGGTGAGTAACTGGGTGTCTGCAGAGGGGCCCAGGACCCCACGCGCCGACCTTTTACTTTCTCTTCCTCATGCTCATCTTTGGGGGAAGAGGTTGGGGAAGACTGGGTTGTTTACCTGTTGTCCTCACACCCCTTCTTTCATTGTGTAAGCCCTGCCCTGCCTTGAGAGAAGCCATTCCTCCTGTAGGAACAGTCTGTGCGCCTGCCTGTGCCGGCCACCATCTGCGCTGTCTCGCACCTTCATCACTTGCGGGGCACATCCCACCAGGGGGCCTTGCTTCCCCCCAACTCCCCAGCAGCCGCAGGGGGCCTTGGGAATGCAGATCACGTGACCACTCGGGTTTAAATCCTCGGTGACTTTCCCATCACTTCAGAATGAACCGAAACCCCTGACCTTGCCTTCCTGGCCAGTGCTACCCCTCCCTTGCCTGTGTGTCCACCCTCTTTGCTGCAGCCTCTTCAGCCCCTTTCTGTCCCTCACACACCTTCCTCCTTCCTCCTCTATTGCTCTTGCGGTTTGCCCTGCCCACAGCTGTTCTCCTTTTGGCCCTGGCTCCTCCAGTGTCGCCCTGGCACCCACAGCAGCCCGATCACCCTGATTAGCTGGCCTTCTGCTGTGCTCACCCACCCGGGCTGGCGAGTGTGCGGGAGCACTGGGCTGAGGCGGCTGCATAGGCCCTAAGCAGACCGGCCCAGACCGGGAGCGAGCACCGTGGAAAACGGTGCTGGCGACTCATTGGCCCTGGGTCCCCGGGCTCTGTGCCCAGGCAGCGTCTGTGAGGTGCCTGTGGTGAGTGCCCTCATGTGGTGGCGGGTCAGGCCGGCACCCAGCATCGCAGCTGTCACTCGGCCTTTTCTGCGCCCAGCCTGTAAAGCCCTCGCCAGCCGGAAATCACATTTCTGGAAGGAGGCGACAGAAACAATGAAGAGCAGGCGGCTGCAGTATTCGCCTTCCGTTCTGTTTGCCTTTCAGTTTTCCTGACCCAGTTCAGGCTTCTGTGGAACCGAGATGCCCAGACAGACTCGGGGGCAGAGGGTGGCGATCCTGGAGGTGCTTGTACCCCAGAGTCGCCACCACAGGGGACGGGCAGCCCCAGGTCCCTGCCAGGGAGCTGCAGCAGTGACGCTGCTGGCCCGGAAGGGACGGGAGTTCAGCTGGACGAGGACGGGGATTTGGACGTGGTGAGAAGACCCCGGGCAGCCTCGGACCCGGATGCGCCTGGGCCTCCGAGAGACAAGGTCCATCCCGTGATTCTCAGGCAGGAAGGGGACGACGTCCTGGACGACGAAGCCCAGGGAAGCAGGCCCCAAGATGTCATCAGAATAGGTCAGTAAAGGCCTGCCTCCCCGCCACTGAGGCGGCTCTCTGTGTGGATCTGTGGGTCAGGGCACACGGCATGTTTGCTCAGGCCGGGATCAGGTTGTTGGGAACCCGCCCAGGGGACCCAGGACCCCCCTAAGATGAGGCCGAGTCTGCGCAGCTGCTGCCCAAGGGAAGAGGGTTCTGCGCTTGGCCGCGTGGGCCGGCTCCATGGCGCCCTTTCATGCCCGCCCCAGCACAGCGCCCTGGGGCGGGGGGCACTGGCCCGGTCAGTTCATGGAGGTCTCCGGGCCCTGCCGTGGCCTGAGGTCACATGCTGGGCCGTGCAGTCCACGCTTTGCACACAAGTCTGGGTGAAGCCACAGCGTGCCCCTACCCATGGGCCGTGAGCAGAACGCCTGAAGGTGACTGGGAGAGTCCTGTTCTCCGGTCACTGATGGCCCGTCTCCCGCTCAGTCCTCCCTGTTGGACTCCCCAAGGGGCCGCCGCAGGCTTGGTCAGCCCCCGGCCAAGCTTTGGCCCCTGGTGCACCCGAGTTTCACGTGCTCGAGGAGCAAAGTCCCGTGAGAAAGGGCTACCAGTGGCCAGCTCCCTGCCTGCCCGCCCCTGACCTCGCAACAGGCCTGAGTCACGGTGCCTGGAAGGTCACGTCCTCTGCTCCCTGTGGTCGGGCCGCCCCGAGGACGCACGGGCACTGTCAGGCACTGGCTGGGGTGGTCACTCCTTGCTGTCCTGCCCCCAGGGCAGTGCTTTCGCCTGCATAAAGTGCAGTGCCTGGAGAGGGGCCTCGGGCCCCGACGCCCCACTGTCCTGGCACAGGGGTCTCCCTACCACACAACCTCAGTTCTGCCCAGAAGGTGCCCAGCGGGAGCCTGGTGGGTAGGACTTCTCACCAGCACCATCTGCCCCGAGCCTGGCACTCGCCATTCTTGCCGGAGGGGCTGCCTGAGAGTTTCATTTGAAAGGAAGACCAAAACAAGCAAAAAACCCTGAAGGGGAAGGTGTTTTCGAGTAGCTTCAGGAGAGACAAACGGAAGTTTACTCAGGACCCTGCTGGAGCCCCAGGCCCCAGGTTCAGAGTAAACTGAGACACCTAGAGTGCACTGCCCTCGCTGTCTAGACCAGAGGGGGCGGGCAGGGAGGCCGGACTCGGGTTGCGTGGGCACATGGCTGAGCCTTTGAGCTCAGTGTGGTCTGTTGCGTGGGACAACCCCTCACCGGCCTGGAGTCCGCACCCTTGACCTGGCCCCTGTGCTCTCAACCCCGCCCGGCACTGCAGCAGGAACAGCTCCCCTCGGGTGCGGGAAGGGGTGCGGGAAGGGGTGCGGGAAGCGGCAGACCGCCCATCGCTCAGGGATCCCACTGGAGCCAGTGGGAGCCGGCAGCCTGCCTCCCCGCCCAGCCCAGTTCACCCCTCAGCTTCCTCGTGGGCCCCCGGAGACCACAGTCACACACCCGCAGGGGGGAGGGGTGGCGGCCCTTGGCTCAGGCAGCAGTGCCCAGCCCGTGTCTTCATCTGTGACATGGGGCGACGAGGGCTGCTCACAGGGCTGGCGTGAGCATGGGGAGCGCCCCAGCCCAGGCCGGGTTCTGGACAAGCGCCGGGCTCTGGGCTCTAGCTCTGACCAGTGTCCACCCAGTGAGCTTTCAGCCAGGACGTATTTTCATTTGTTCCACAACCAGCGCCCGCATGCTGGGCGTCTGCAGGCAGACGTTCCCGAAGGACTTCCTCCAGGAGGGAGGTCAGACCCAGCCAGGAGGCTGGTGAAAAATACGCTGGTCACCTCTCACTCAGGACGCAGGCCTAGCCTGCAGGGCGCAGGAGTGTCTGCTCCCCGGGAGGCCCCCTCAGCCGTGTCCCGGGGCCCTAGGAGGCCGCAGGGCGCTCTCTCCCCTGGCATAGCCCCGTTGCGCTGGAGGGGCCGGACCGCAAAGCCCTGTCCCTCGGGCGGGCCTCGTGGCCAGCCCCCAGCCTGCTCCGCCTCCTGCGTGGGGAGAGCATGCGGTTCGCCCAGTGCGTCAGAGCCTCTGCTGCGGCTTTGGGGGTGATGGGCTGCTGCTCCCATGTGGCTGAAAACTGCCGGAGCCAGGGCTTTGCTTGACCGCAGAGGTGTCTGCCCTGCTCTTCTGCTCCTGCCCTCGCGCCCTCCGGCTCCAGCTCAGATGTTATCCTAGTAGCCTTTGGCTGGACAGTACTGCTCACCTACGCCGGGAGCGCACTTCCGACTTGTGTTTTGCGCTTCCAGTGGGGGCCTGCGTGTGGCGAGCGCCAGGGGATGAGCTGGGAGGCTCGTGACCCCGCGGCAGGGACAGTCGCGGCTCCCAGGCAGGCGGAAGTGGAACGGGGGCGCGTTTCACGCACCTGGGCTGGCCCTCTTGCGCCCCGGCCTGGCTCCCAGCGCTGGTCTGAGTGACACGCACACGCCCTCCCGCCTGCCAGCCCGGCCCGCCTCGCTGCCCTCTGATGCCCAGCTCCCGAGCCTGCGGCCCTGCGTGCAGCGCGCCGTGCCCGCCTCTGCTTTCTGGCCAGCCCCGCTTCACCGTGGCCCTTTCTCTCCCGGTTCCGTCCTGTCTAGAGCACACCATGGCCACCCCGCTGGAGGACGTGGGCAAGCAGGTAGGTCGGTCCCCCGGCCCGCAGCGCTCACGCGTCTCTCAGGGCTCAGTCACCGAGGTCCCTGTGTCTCCCCACAGGTGTGGCGGGGCGCGCTGCTCCTGGCTGACTACATCCTGTCCCAGCCCGCCCTCTTCCAGGGGCGCACGGTGCTGGAGCTGGGGGCCGGCATGGGGCTGGTCAGCATCGTCGCAGCCACCGTGGCGAGGACCGTGTACTGCACAGGTAACCCACCTTGGCAGGGGGGCGCAGGCAGGTCTCCTGACCTGAGTCAGGGAGGGGCACTCAGCCTGCCCGTTTTCTCCACCCGCCAGTGCTCTCTCTGTGTGTCAGGGCGACCCGGCCAGGCCCCTGGCGGGGCAGGCACCTCTGCTCAGCCCGGAACCCGCCAGCAGCGCCTTTTCTGCGGCTTCCGGGACAGCTCACTCGTCCTTCCTCGCTGTGGAGCGCTTCCTGCTCCTGGGAAAAGTGTCTGAAGTGGCAAACAAAGCCTACTCACGGCTGACACGGAGCTGCCCGCAGCCGGTGGCTTGCTGAGCATTCGCTGGGCCTCACACAGGCTGGTGATGCCCTCGGGGCGCTTCAGCATTACTGTCTCTGCTATTTTACAATCTTCTCCCTTTTTTGTGGCCATTTTCCCCAATAGCAAAAGTCAAACATTTCTCAAGAGCATTTTCCTGCATCATTAAAAACTCTTAAATATTTTTAATGTCCAGGTAATAGTTCATCTTTTTTTTTAAGATTTATTTTATTCATTTATACATACAAGATCTGGGGAGCACGCCAGAGTATGGGGGCGAGAGGATTCACCAGAGACAGAGTGGGGAGCAGAACAGGTGGGGCAGCAGGGAGGAGACAGGCGAGGTCTGCTGCGCCCCTGGGGGTCACCTCTGGGGCGGGGATTGAACTCGTGCTGCAGCGGCTGTGGACAGCTTCACAGCACCGAGACTTTAACCCCTGTGCCACTGTGGAGGCCTCATTTTTTTTGTTTTTAGCCATTCTACCTCTGGGCATTTTTGTTGTCCATTTTTCCTCGGTCTCCACCTTTGGTGACTGCGCAGTCCCTGGAACGGAGACAGTGGCCTCGCGTCCAGGCTGATGTGACAATCTGAACGTTCTGTGGCGCCCACGCGTGGGCCCTCCTAGCTGAGGATTCCCGTCTGACCGTACCGTCCACCGCTGCCCACCCAGTGAAGACGCGCTCGCTGCAGCCCGTCCGCCCGGCGATGCGACCCCGCCCCTCAGTAGCTGGCGTGTAGGAGTCACACAGGAGCAGCGGTGTGACCCCCCCCCCCCAAATCTCTCTGTTTGGTTCCTGGTCATTGAGAGGACGCAGCCTGGGGGGATGTGACAGACCATCCGTACAGGGAGCCGTGGCAGCTCTCTACCCTTCCAGAAGGTGCCCGGAGTCTGCCCCTGACGACCCCCCTTAGGGAAAAGACCATCTGCAGGAGCTTGGAGCAAAACTGCCTGTGTGGGCGGCGAGAGGCCGGCCATGCCGCCTTGATGGCTCCCCGACCCCCCACAGGCGCGGGGAGAAGGGGGGCGTCGGCTGCACTTCAGGGCTGGCTTTGTCATTGCAGATGTGGGGACAGACCTCTTGGCCATGTGCCAGCGGAACACCACCCTCAACAGTCACCTGGCCGGCCCTGGAGGTGAGGCCCGGAACAGGCCTCTTCAACCCTGTGCCAGCGGGCCAGGCCTGGGGCGGGGCGGGGCCGGGAGGGCGAGCTCTGGCGGCCGTGCAAAGGCTGCTTCTCTCCCACTCGCGTCTGAGTGAGGAATTCCGCCTGCTTTGTCTGCTGTAGGCGGCGTGGTCAAGGTCAGAGCACTGGACTGGCTGGACGCGGACCTCTGCACAGGTGTGTCTCCTCTCCGCGGTCCCTTCATCCTGCAGTTCCCCTGTGACACTTCCCGGCCATGACCTGTGGCCTCGTCTGAGGGGCCCGTCCCGCTCGGCCCGGCCACAGGCCGACAGCGCTGTCCGGGCGCCCACCGCCTCAGCCCCGAGCCACGGCACAGCCGGCGCAGGACCGGCGCCCAGAGGGGCCAGCGCTGCCCGGTGGCGCCGGGGCGTGGCGTGCTGCCCGGGGTGGCCAGGCCCCTCCCCCCGTGCCTCTCCTCTATGAAACCTGCCTTGAGGTCGAAGGTCAGCCCTTAACGAGCTCCTGCCACCTGCCAGGGCTCCCCTTTGGTCTCGCCATCCCTGCGGGGGACGGCTTCATGCCCTCTGGTGCGGCGGCAAATCCAAAGAGGCCGCCCAGCCCGCACCGCGCCGGCTCGGGCGCGCCGAGCCCCCGCACCCTGGCCGCCAGGCGGCCGTACTGCCCTGGAGCTGGGGTGCCCGCGCCCCGAGCAGCTTGAGCGCCAGCCCCGAGAGGGTCCTAAACGGTGTCGGCGAGGTGGTCCTGAGGCTTCTCTCGGGCCGGTCTCAGCTGTGTCCCCCACAGACCCTGCGGCCTCCTTCAGCTGGTCGGAAGCGGATGTCGCGGACCTGTACGAGCACACCACCGTGCTGCTGGCCGCGGAAGGTGAGAGCGGAGGCCCACCGCGGCCCCCCCCCTTCCAGAACCGTCCTCCTGGGACACCCCCACCCTGGGTGCGACTCTGGGCTGCGGGGGCGTCTGTGGGGGTTCTGCTTCCGAGGCCTCTCCCTGGCTGGGGCCCCTCGGAGGCATCACGTCCCCTGACACGTGCCGCTTTTCCTCGGCCCCTCCCTCCCCGCAGTGTTCTATGACGACGACCTCACCGACGCCCTGTTTAGGACCCTCTCGGGGCTGGCGCTCAAGCTGAAGAACGCCTGCACCGCCGTCCTGTCCGTGGAGAAGAGGTGAGCGGCCTGCGGCCCCGAGGGCTCCCTCCTGCTCTGCACCCCCCCCCCCCCCGGGGCTGTGCCATCATGCGGGGCCTCTGCACACGTGACCCGTGACCCTGCACAGCCCAGGTGGGGGTGCTGCCGCCCGGGGCCTCAGGGAACCTGTCAGGCCAGAGCAGGTCAGACGGTGGAGTGGGCCGCCTCGGAGCCTCACCCCGCAGCCCGCTCCGTCTCCGCAGCACCCCAGCTTTCTGTCCTCAGTCTGACGCAGCCAGAGCCCCTGGTGGTCGCCACGTGTCGCTGAGTGTCTCAGCCTTCGGGCTCCAGACGGCGTCCACTTGCTGATGGGCGCAACGCCGCGTTCCCGAGGTGGCCGGTGGGCCCGAGCCATCGCCTGCCCACGGCCGCCCTCCACCCCCGGACACCCAGTCCTGTCCACTGGCCCCGTGACACAGGCAACTCCGAGCACCAGATGCTTTGGGGCCCAGCCGGGAGGGGCCAGCAGCACCCCGGGGGCCCGGCTGAGCAGCACTCTGTGTCGCTGCCGCCCCCAGGCTGAACTTCACGCTGAGACACTTGGACGTCACGTGCGAGGCCTACGACCACTTCCGCTCCTCGCTGCGGCGGCTGGAGACGCTGGCCGACGGGCCCCTGCGCTTCGTGGTGGAGCCCGTGGAGGCCTCCTTCCCGCAGCGCCTGGTCTACGAGCGCATCCGGCAGCTGGTAGGGGGCAGGGCCGCACCGAGCCAGCCGGGAGGCCAGCGAGGGAGGGGTCTCCCGGCCTGCCTGCCCCTGGGAAGCGCTCAGACTCCAGGGAAGCAAGACCAGGGCAGCCTGCGGGCGCAGGCTGGCAGGGCCCTGGGCGGGCCTGTGGCGGGAGCGGCGCTGACGCCCCCGACGTTCTCGCCTCGGAGGTGCTGGCACAGAGGCTGCCGTCGCGCGGTCTGGGTCGTCGCCCCAGGTGGACCCAGCTGACCCCAGGTGGACCCAGCTGAGGCCGAGTCAGCCCTCCCGAGGGGCAGCCGGGACCTCGTCCTGTGGCTGAAGCCCAGGTCCCCGGGGAGACCCCAGAAGGGCCCAGGAGAGGGCGTAACTCCAAAGCCGAGGGTGGCTGGCCTCGGCTCCTGCCGCCTTTGGGCGTGACCTCCCGGGCTCTGGGTCTCAGAAGGGGGCCCTGGGGGGCCAGGGCTCGCGTCCACCGCGCCCCCCGCCTGGCTCCCGCCGTGTGGCCTCTGCACGGCCTGTGCCAGCCGCCCTCTGCTGCGCGCCCCTCTGGGCAGCCCCGGCCGCTAGCCAGGCAGGACGTGTGGCGCCCCAGAGCCCTGTGGTGTGGGCCGCTGCCGCGGTAGGAGGCAGCGTGGGGCCCAGAGCCCGCGCCCGCAAAGCCCGGTAGCCCCAGCCTGTGGCGCTGAAGGCCCCCCCGGGGAGCTGGTGGCCCGCTGCATGCTGAGGCCCTCTGGGAGCGGTGGCACCCCCGTGCTCCTGGGCCGGGAGCCCCCACGTGGAAGGGAGAAGCCCAGAGCGAGGGAGGTCCGCAGACGCCCTGCCGCCTTGCCGGCCGCCCTTTCCATCGGCTGTTCTGTTTGCTGCAGGAGCTCTGGAAGGTGCTTGTGGAGCGAGTCACGTGACCTGTCCGTCAGCAGTTGGGCTTCTTGACTGCTCTTGTGACATTGTTTCTAATAAAATCAGAAGCTCACCAAGTTCCATGCTTGAGACTGTTTTCCTGAAACAAGGCGGGTGGGCCCGTCACACCCGCCCGGTGCCTGGAGTCCGTCCCCCAACAGCAGCTGGGCCCCGCTGGGCCGGGGGCCACTCAGGGCTGTGTCCGGGAGCCGTTGTCCTCAGCCCAGCAGCCTTCCCCGAGCCGTTCGGGCGCCACACACACCGTGGGGCGCTGCGGCTCCCCTGCATTAACTGCTGACAGTTGCTGTAATGACGGCAGGCGGATGGGGCACAGAATGTCCCCAGGGTGGCCCTCGGGAGCAGGCGGGGCCCCGCACAGCACTGGCCAGCAGGCCTCCACTCCTGCTTCAAGCCTCTGCCCGTGCCGCGGCTGTCCAGAGCAGGCAGCGCCTGGGGAGCGGCCCGCCAGCGGGGTGCGCACGCCCCTTCAGCCCGGCTCCACCCTGCTCACGCCTGGTTTCCGGCCTTGGGCCTCCTCCCACCCTCCACCTGGTGCTCTGGCCTCCCCCGCACACACCTCTGCCGCCGTGCCCACCCACCCTGCCTCTGCGCTCTCGGCACCCAGCGCCCTCTCCTGCTCTCCAGTCTCTTCTCCCCAGGCGCCCGGTACATCGGCCCAGGCCGTCAGCGGGCCTGGACACCAGGGCCAGGCGTGTCCGAATCTTAACCAGCCCCTGACGAGCCAGCCTCGTGCCCTGTCGGGTGGCACAGCCCATCGCTTCACTCAAGCCAGTCTTTATAAAGGGGTCACAAGGTCCGGCCCCCACCCATGCGGCGGGACCTGGTGGATGGGAACCCCGACAGGCGGGGTCCTGGGGCCTGCCTCAGGCTGCCCAGGGGCACAGAGGCACTGGCCCACCCACAAGGCCACGCTCAGCAGTGGTGCGCTACCTGAGGACGTCTCTCCAGCATCGGCTCCCGATCCAGCCTCCCCAAGCTCAGTCACGCTCTTCCCAGCTCCGTGAGTGGACTGAGATTCACTCCTGAGTCATCTGAGGGGGCCAGGGTATGTCCAGCCGTGCTAAGTGAATGAATGGACCAGCGAGTGAATGGGGGAAGTGTGGATGGGGTAGGAGGATCTTCCAGGCCTTTGCACTGAGCCCCCCGCGTGGAGGCAGGTGCCGGGCTTGTTCCGGGCCGTTCTCCTTCTCGGACCAGCCAGCCCGGCAGCCATTTCCTTCTCCCCTTCACGCCCTTCAGGCCGGCACCTCCAGACGCTGCAGGAGGGCTTTGCCACGAGGTGGCGCCCCAGGCCAGCCAGTGGGAACAGGGACCCCTGCCAAGGAGGCTGGCAGGTCACTGCCCCTTAGACACTGCAGCCTCCCGCCTGTGGTCCCGATGCGCCTGGGGGCCCAGCTCCCCTGCTGCAGCTGTGGCCCTATAGTTCTGGAAGCTGCCGGGAAACAGCCCACCCCTGTGGCCTGGTTCAGCTCCAACCCGCGTGCCTCCCACTCATCAGCACCCCCACCTGGGCCAGGCGGGGGAGGGGTGGACCACCTGAGACTCCGCCCGGTTTTGGGCCCACCAAGCTGCGGAACAGGAGTTCCGCAGTGATGCAAGTGGGTGGGTCTCAGCCCAGACCGCTGCTCCTCCTGCCCCGCTGCCCAGGTGGGCGTTGCTGGCCCGTGGGCCCTGGACAGCGGTGGAGCGAACGGTGCTCCAGGGCTGAGACAGCACAGCGCGGTGGGGGTTCAGGAGGCATTGCCGGGGCAGGGCCTCTGCACCCTGGGAGCAAGCTCAGAAGCGGGCTGGGGCGCCGGTGGGGTGCCAGCTTCAGAGCCCGCCTCCAAGAGAGCCTGGGGCCTGAGCCTGGACAGAGGAACCAGCCTTCTCCCCAGAGCCCCTGGCGCTGGAGGGTCCTGAGAGGCAACAAAGCTCGGCGGCTAGAGCAGCCGAAACAGCCCAACAGCCACCTCTCGGGGCCCCAGGGTCCATGCCTGCAAAGTGGGCTCCTGGCGCACCACGCCGAGGCCGTAGCTGGACATGCCAGGCTCGGGGAGGGCTGGGGAGGCACGTTGCTGTCATTAATCACCGCCCACCCGCGCCTTGCATCAGCGCCCGTCTGGGGGTGGGGGCTCCCCAGCGGGGTCCTGGCTGGAGAATTACTGACAGGGCCGCAGCCTCCCCGAAGCCACCGCTCCTCCTCTTACCTGACTGACAGCATGGGGAGGAAAAAGACCCCTCGAGTCCTTGAGCATCCCTGAAAGGTTTCCAGGACAACGCCCCTGAATGCTGGAGGCTGGGAGCACAGCACGTGGGAGTCAAAACTCAGGAGACGGCAGGTGTCCCCACTTTCTGGCTGTCAGTGCAGCACAGACTCTAACAGTCCTTGGGTTGCAAAGGCCCCCGAGCCTGCGCATCCCAATGGGGACAAGCCACCTGCTCCCCTAAGCGGGGCCCACAGCGGGGACAGGTGGTTCTCAGCCAGTGACTGGCCAAGTGGTGTGTAAATACCCCCACTCCCTTGCTGCTGCAGGGGCCGTGGCTCCCAGGTCCCCATAGAGGGGCCCCCAGTTTCCTCTGACTTACCGCCCCAAAGTGACCCACAGTGGCAGAGACTTTTCCTATGGTGATAAAACACACATCACACATTTGCCATTGTAAGTAAGTGCACAGTTCCGTGGTGTTAAGCACCTGGATGCGACCATCACCTCTGTTGTGCCCCAGAACGTTCCCCCTACTCCAAGGGGAATGGTACCCACGCAGCCACCCCCAGTCCCTCCAAACGCAGCCCGCGGCAGCCACTGGTCTGCTTGTTCTAGTTCTGCCTATTCGGGCTCAGTCACATGGACAGAATCGTGCAGAATGTGGTCTCAGAGACCCCTCCGGACTGTGGCACGGGCCAGTACATCTTTCCTTTTGTACGACTGAGTAATACTCCATTGTGTGGACAGACCACATTGGTTTGTCCATTCATCAGCTGATGGACATTGGGATAGCTTCCACTTTGGGACTAGTGTGAATGGTGCAACTATGAATATTTATGTGGGAGCTTTTGTTTGAACACCTGTTTTCAATTCTTTGGGCTCTCTACTTAGGGGTAGAACTGCTGGGTGCTAGGGTAGCTCCATGTTTGACTTACTGAGGAACTGTCCAGCTTCCCCATGGTGGCGGCCCCTTTCACGTCCCATCAGCGGAGCACAAGGATCCCAGAGGTCCACATCTTCATTAACACTCGCTAACTACCCTTCCCTGCTTTTTTTTTTTTTTAAGGTTTCTTTATTTCTGCATACAGAACTGGGGACAGGCCAGAGGTGCAGGGGCAGTGAGAGGATTCACCAGACCAAAGTGGGGAGCAGAACAGGCAAACTGATGAAGTACACTGCTGGGGGGAGCAGCGGGGATACAGGAGTTCTGCCGCGCCATGGGGGTCAGCTCCAGAGCCTGGGTTCGAACCTGCCCCGAAGCACGCCGAGGCAGCCTTGCTGCGCTCCAGCCCACTGCGTCGCCGGGAGGGCCCTGCCTGTGTATTGTTTTAAGTTTGGCTTTGATTTGCTTTTCCCTCGTGACTGAGGACATTGTACATCTTCTCCGATGCTTGCTTTGCGCATCTCTGCAAACACATCTGTCAGGTCCATTTTCGAATTGGGTTTTTGTCTTTTTGTTGTTGAGTTATAGGAACGCTTCATATATTCTGGATACTGCATAGGTGAGTGGCAGGGACCTTCTCCCACTTGGTGGCTGTCTTTTCAGGGTTTTGAAACCACTTTGTGCCCAAACATTTTTAATGTTGATGTCTTTCGATCTTTCCGTTTTTCCTTTGGTTGCTTAAGCCCTTGTCATCAACTAAGAAACCATTACAAAATGCAAACGAAGCTCTCACCCATTGTTTTTCTCTAAGACTTTCCTAGCTTTCATCCTCATATTTAGGGCTTTGATCATGTTTGTGTATTGTGTGAGGCAAGGGCCCACTGCATTTCTTTTACCGGTGGCTATTGTGATAATGCAGAGGCTGAGAACAACTCAGAGGCTGGGAGGAGATAAAACGTCTTGTCTCATATCACCTGTCCATCGGGAGGTGAAACTGGGACTCATTCTCATTTCAACCCAGGCTGGCACCTTCTCCAATAACAAAAACTACCCCTTTATTACTCTGTGAGCAGGAGGTGGGGTGCACAGGCCTCAGAAGTGAGTCACACCTTGTAATCCCGCTGGAGGTGAGCAGGTGAGCTCACCCTCCTAGCTGGCCTCGGTTTCCACTTCCATACTCTGGGCTGATGGTCGATGATCTACTCGGAGATCACACCGGAGCCAAAACCCCATTGCCGCTGCCTCTCCTCTTGGGGGGGCGGGGGGAGCCCTCCCAGTTAGTTGCTCTTCGGGAAGGGGCTCCCATCCCGGGGCTCAGTCGAAAATCTGAAAACATTCTCAGCCTCTTTGGAAGATAGCTGCAGCCCAAGCAGCCCCACGTGAAAACTGTGAACTGTGGGACATGCACGCAGAAGCTAGTGAGAGCCGCTCCCCGCTGCTGACAGCTTTCCTCACAAGTGGGGCGATGAAGCTACGTGGGAATCGGCTTGCAAAGCACCTAGTTCTAAGTACCCTCTCACACCCCCTCCCTTAGCCAGAGAAGGCCAGCCAGGGCCTGCCCCTCAGCGGGACAGATCACAGCGCAATGAAGGCAAGAATTCTCCCATCGTCTTGGTCCGGGGCTGCACAAACTTTTCCTGAAAAGAGCCAGATGGTAAATATTTATGGCTTTACAGACTATCGCATCTCTGCCACGGCTGCCACTGTGGCACAAAGAGCCAGTGAATGGGCTGTGTGCCAACCTCGGAAAGTGTGATTTTCATATACTTCCCTTGTGCTATGAAATGTTCTCCTGTGGATGTTTTTTTCCAACCCCTTAAAATAGAAGCCTCATTTTAAACCTCAGTTTGTGGGTCACTACAGATGGGGGCTGCCTTTGCTTTGACTTTTGTTTGCTTTTCATTTTTAATATTTTTCATAGTCCAGAAGCAACATATATGCAATATAATTACAAATGAGCTGTATGCAAATAAAGTAAAATTAAAGTC